TGTCTGTTTTATAACTTGATAAAGCAAGACTCACAGTTTATCATCAACATGATCGGGCTTTGGAAGTTTGTAGCCACGTGTCACCTGTGCAACTACGTTGCCTTCTGACCATCCGTCATAAGGAATTCCTCCTGTAAATGAATAAAAAATGTGCCTGTGATACTCCAGAATATTTTGTTAAAAAAATATTGAGATTTAAATCAGAGAGATTCACTTCTAGTGCTTGATCAGAGCATTCGAAAAATGGTGTTTCCTAACCTGATACTTGCTGAAATTGATGACCACTTTTCTATTACGTAATTGGTAAGAAATGGGTTTCGTTTGTCATTTTAAGTCGCACACAAAATGATACCCGTCTTGTGTGATAGTAAAAGCGAGGAAAATCCCGAAACAACAGAGATTGAAACTTCGACAATCTAAGCATGAGTCATCAGTGAAGTCAATTTTGGTAAGACAAATCTATTTGTTAGAACTCATCAAACTAACGTCGACCAATGCAGTCTGACAGGCATTGACACTGACTAACAAGTTCCACATACGATACCTACACTTGACGGCCCGAAGGTATAAATATTTGTTATTTTGTTATTGAACATAGTTAGACTTACCAAGGGTAACTATCTCATACAGAACGATTCCGTAAGACCACCTGAAAAATATTTCAAAAAAATATTGCCAAGTGAGAGTTGTAAAAGATAAAAAGCCCAAGAGATGAGCTGCTCAGTGTAAGACTATACGTCATACATACACGTCGCTCAAGGTGGAAAGTCCAGCAAGATTTCCCAACAAAATTTCTGGTGCAGTCCATTTAATTGGCAGACGGCCCTGCAACGACAATCAGTGCTATCATACCGGTTTATTAGAAAGGACATTTTGCATGCAAACAATCGTAAACACTACGAATTGTTTGGCACTTCAGGTGGGTGGTACACTCCTTCTAGGGCTTTCGAGTGTCAAAATTTAGCAGTTGTCATAAATTTCAAACAGTAAAGTCAACAAACTCACTAGCTGTGGCAAAGCCAAACGTGGGACCATCTTTGCCGGGAAGGCGAATTTTAAACAGAGTTAGTGCTAACCTTAGGAATTTTTTTGCGAGTGGCACTGTAAAAAAGGCAAGACAAAGAAGATCTGCTACCTTTTTGGCATTTCCATGACCATATTTGAAGTTTTGATATGCCATGCCAAAGTCGGTCACTTTGCACACATAGTTGTTATCAAGAAGGACGTTTCGAGCTGCCAGGTCACGATGAATTATCTACCAAAAGAAAAAGATCCAAAATGTGAACCAGACGAAAGATTATGTAGATGTTTGCATGGTTTTACAGTAAATTTCAACGGACAGAAAAAATTACAATCATACAAACTCAAGTACTTTATTGCACAACGTATAATAGGAGCGACTCAAATAGACAATACTGACAGTAACTATCCTCAATAACTTACTTAAGCCCTCTGCAAACTACAGTGTATATCTTATCTCACCACTACCTCAATTTCAGAGTTTTCTCCTAAATTCCTTGAGATGAAAAGTCTTCCACAGCAGCTCTCTCTATCTTGGTATAGCGTTCAGACAGGCGCTCTTTTCCGACAACAGCAATAACTCCTACTACACGACTGAATCCTTATATACATTTAAAAAGTATTCCGGAACATTCCAGAAGCTTACAATACAAATATTTCGGTAGTATTACATCATAACAACAAAACCTAACAGAATATTCTAGAAGGTTCAACAGAAAGTTCATGCAAGTAAGTCCTCTTGATACTTATCCATAACAACGGGCTGTAAGAACTATTGTTCCTACGGTTTTCATTACAGACCAAAGAAATACCAAAATCACTGTGACATCAGATGACCCATTAACAATACTAAAAGAACCCTTGGCCTTCAGAAACATTCAGAATATCAAACCTGCTTTCAAAAATGTCGTTTAATTTAGATTTATCGATATTTAAGACAATCACAAGGTATAAAAATTTTTACTATTTATCTGAGGCAAAATTGAATGTAGTAGCATTTTGTTTACTTACTCCCCTTGATCCAAGGAATACCATACCAGCGGCGATTTGTTTGGCAAATAGCACAAGGTCGTAGTTGTCCAAATCTTGAGCTCTTCCTTCTCCAAGATAATACCGATCCTTAATTCCTCGGCACTTTCTCATGTAACCAAGCAGGTCACCACAAGGCAAGTATTCCATGATAAGGATTGGATGAACTTAAAATAACNTGTTTATAAATCAGAAACAGTAAAAACATGCCAATAGTAACCAAAATATTTTCTTTTTTTCTGCAAACCGAGATGATATTAATACCTATCTAATAGCAAAATTGAAGAGAACAATTGGAATATGGAGTGAAGTAAAAGTAAGCAGAAACAAGTCCAATGTTTGCTTCTGACACAACTATTCTCTGGAAAAGTTACCAAGGACAAGATATGAAGAATGAATCTTACCTGTCCTTAGGCGCTTCCAAAAATACCAGCATACGAGCAAAACAGCAATGACAGAAGTCACTGATCCAAAAATATAATACCACACCAGGGTTGGAATCCTCACAGCTGTTGGTACAAGTTAAACACATGGCCATTAGCCAAATGACAAAGCTAGCACATGTGATCATGATAATGGAAAGGTTTTTACCCAGTATTACCTATCCTCCCTGGATTCTGTCTTTTGCTAGAGTTTCTCTGGCTCATTTTTATCAGTACTGGCTCATTTACTATTTTATGGCAGACATTCCAAGAAAGGTTAATCAAAACTATGTTGTAGAAAAAATAACAAAAAAACCATAAAGCGAAGTCTGTTAACAAGCAAAGTGGCCCATCAAGCCGGCGCTTAACTCTGGTTTCCGTAGCATGAAGCTCCCTGGAGTATTTCTACTCCCTCCTGCTAGTCCATTGCAGGGTTACCCCCCATAATAATGTCAAATAACCTGCCTTTTTGCAAACTGGATGAAGAACAATTCCCATTACCCAGTAGGAAGCAAATAATCATGATGATACTGCAAACGATTATACGGTATCTAAAATTAGGTTCTACTGCATGTAAAAGGCTAAGGACCCAAATCTTCATTCGAAACTCATACTTACCATAAAAAACAATAACAACAACAACAATGGGAAAAAAAAAGCAGCCAACAGCATGATTAAAACGATGCAAAACTTTCAGGTTACATTAAAGTTGAAATGTTCTTTGCTGTTAAATAATAGATTGTTTTTAGGACACTACAATAATGCCAGCTTACAATTGACATTTATTGTCACATTGGAGCGGGCCACATTTCCTAGTCTGTTACGAGCTTCACAGGAATACACACCACTGTCCTCCTCCACGACCTTTGCAATATGCAGGTAACCTTTTTTCTCATCCAATTGCGTAAAGATGTCCGCTCTCTTCTTTATTTTGTCTCCATCTTTTTTCCAAGAGATATTTACTGTTGCTTTGTTGACAATGCAAGTTAACCTAAGCTCATCACCTGAAGTGAGGGTTGGATATGGTTTTGGACTCAATTCCACAGTTGGTTTTTCTGTGTAGAAAAAGAGATAATGTACATGTATACGAATCTTGATTTTTTATGAAAAAAGAAAATACCTTACTCTCAGTACCTTATTAGTAAGGCAATTATCATGGACACGAGGCAATCCAAAAGCGACCCCCTAAACAGAATTTCCAAGATGCTTCTAAGTAACCCCAGACCTAGCCCTTTGTTGCTATAAATAGTCTCATGACATGTAATGTGCCATTCAATGTTACAAATCGTTGTACTGATAAAAATCTATTGGAACAAAATTATCACAGTGACCATGACAAACTGTCAAAGTGATCATATAGAAAAGTTATTTCAAACAATTGTTTAACGGCGTCTGCGCAACAACTATGCTTCCCACAACTCATTACAGTATTTTTCCCAGATACCTTACACCCAAGTTAGTATTTCAACTCTTTGACTCAATTTTCTTGGAGAATTTCCAGGGGCATCAAGACTCTATCTCAAAACAGTTATTATAAGAATCAGTCTTAACACACTGTCAGTTATTTTTGGCCAGCCTTCAGACCAGCCAACATTTACAACTCATGTTTTACCCATTAGCAGGAAAGATAACATCAAAGAAGAAAGAATTGTATACTATTATTGTTAAAGGGGATACATCACCATCACTACCCTAACGGCTATTAAGTTTCAATAGCTACTGCTACCATTATTAAACTCATCATCATCATCACTGTCACTAGTATCAGTATCATCATTATCATTCGACCTACCAAAAACTTGAAGTGTTGCGGAAGAACTTGTTGTATTGGCTTTGTTTTCTGCTGTGCACTCGTATGTTCCTTCCATTTCTTTTGTTGTTCGCAGCATTTCTAGGTATGATTCCACGAATAAGTCTCGCTCAAAATTGATTTGATTAATACCCGATTGGAGTTTACCGCTATTAAATGTCCACATTACTTTTGGTGTTGGAACACCTGAAGCACGGCAAGTAAAGTTGACAGGGTCTCCAACAATAACAGATTGGTTTACCGGAGACAATAAAATCCAAGGAGACACTGAAAATGAAAAGAAGACCATGATCTTCAACCAAGGTTCTTAAGATACAACCAAATAACCACAAGTAATTTGGCAGTAATTAGAAGTAAGAGTAAATTTGGAGTCCCCTAACTACACATATTTACAGAAATTATTAAAAGAAGCGCCTCCACACAGCGAATGGGAATTAAGGTCAGGAGGATATTATGTATATTTCGAATGAGTGAGCTTCCCTCAACCCTGAACGATAGTATTAACATGAAAAGGGTAATTTAGTATATTATACACATAATACTTTAAACATCATGAAGTATGCAAATCAAACTCAAATTTAAAAACAAATGAATAAACTTGGTTTGTAGAAATTCTATTTAAATATCTAGCTTAAACAAAAGCATGTTAAAAAATTACATGTACTGACTGGTCAGACCACACCACCGGGGTCTATGTTCCCTACATGCACTCTTTGTGAGAAGTTCCTGAGTTCTTTAACGTCCCCTTGCTAACCAGTACAGACAAGATGAGGGAGACAGGGCCTACAGTCTATTGGCCTTATCCGTGAATACTAGAATGTATAACCATTCACAAATATCATAGCACACTCAGCACATTCTCCTAGGTTATTTAAAGATCCTCAGTGGTGGTCCAGTCTAAAGTTGAACCCTCGACGTGATGCATGGCAGTTCAGGGCTCTACATCATGAGCTTACAGAGTGCAGTTTGTAAATATTAATAAAATTATTTTGATTTACCAGTAACATCAATCCAGAAGGATGAGTTAGCTTTTCCAGCCAGATTTTCAGCGACACATTCATAGAAACCTTTATCATCAAAAGTCACGTGCTTAATAATTAATGTGTTGTTGTTGACAAGAGCTTCTCCATCCTTGCTCCAATTGACAGATACTGGAGGACTGCCCTTTACAAAACAAGGTGTTGTAAATGTGGAGTTCAATGTAACTGAATGATTCTTGAGTCCAGAATCTAACTGTGGTGGAACTAGAAAGCAAAATTTAAAAAAGTGACGATGAGATTATCTTCACAGGTACATTGGTATCTTGAGCTTGGATGTAAACACTGCAAACAAATAACAAGTCAGCAACTTTTAAGAATTTCGTTCTGCAGGTGCTATCAATATGTTACTTAGTTGACTCAAGAGTAAAAAAAAACTTTTGCCATATCCATGCCATTTATCTGGGACAGGGCTGTGGCTTAGCAGCACCCAGTGGCTCCTGGCGCCTTACTTTTTTTCCTGGGCGACTCAAGAATCTTAGTTTTTTCATAAAAACCATATGCTAGGCACCCTGGATTTCACAGTTTCTGAGCACTGGGCTCCCTTCAATTTTTCTTAGAGCATAGCCTTGTGGGACATTTGACTTAATTTCCATTTATGTGAACGTGAGATATAAGTTTCAACTCATTGCCAGAGCAGGAAACATCCGAAATTTGTATTTGTATTTACGAATATTTATACAGGGTGGCTCAGTTTAGCAGATAGCTAGTTTAAATGGTGCCCTGTGAAACCCACCCATCCCTCCCCAGGGGAGGACATCCATCACACAGTAATCTCGTGCGTGGGAAATTAACCT